AACTAGGTGATATTACAAATTCGAACTCTGTCACCTCTTCCCTTCATAGTCAACATTGAATGCTGAAGGGTGGCTCAGGTTTGAAGGACTATTCCAGGAACTCCCAGCACACTGTCCAGAAAAAATCTCTTTGCCATAATTGTTTGTCCTCACCAACCAACAAGATGGGGTCATGGACTTACGTTCCAGAGTTTGTTTGTAACTTAAAAATTATTTCCAGAGCAAAACAGAATAAGAAAGGTTTAAGACTCTACATAAGCTCAATAAGTCCTCGTTTCTCTGAAATACTATACTATGAAGTAAATTAGAGCAAGGTTAGGGACGATTTAATACCACAAAATGAGACGGGAAAAGACAATTGATTGTACCCTGGATTTTGACGAAATTGAAGTATATTTAGAGAAAATAGAATGTGGGTTGTAGAGGTTTTAGAAAATTGAAACAGAAGAATTTTCAAAACTTTCAAAAATTCCCTGTGTATTAGTCATTATCTTTTCAGATCAGGACTAAATATCCTTTGGCAGTGACATAACATTCTCCTTTAGGATCCGAGGTAGTTTCTGCTTTTGGTATAAAACTATGACCTACCAAGAGCAACTTAGGTGATACAAGATTAATTTTTCTTACACTTTTATGTAATAGTCTGTCATTCAAGGAAGTTAGAGAAAGCATTCCAGGCAGGAATCTAGAGGCAGGAGCTGAAGCAGAGACCATGGAGGAATGCTGCTTACTGGCTTGCTCTCCTTGGTTTGCTCAGCTTGCCATTCTGTACAACCCAGGACCACCCACCCAGGGATAGCAACACACATGGTGGGCTGGGCCCTCCCAAAATAAATCATTAATTTAAAAAAAATGCTTGCAAAGGACAGGCAATCCTCAACTGAACTTCCTTCTTCTATGGTGACTCTAGTATCAATACTAGATACTAGATATCAACGTTATCAGACTAACCAACGCACTCAGTTATCAGTACAGTCATTTGGAGGTTCACCATGGGGACATACACAGAAGAAGAGATAAAAGAGAATGCAGTGAAAGGAGACTTTGCATTAAGACCTGTGTAAAAACAAGGAGAGAATGGAGAAGGGAGTTAGCATGAATGAAATAAGTCAACGTGATGGAATAAAGATGTCTAGATCATGTTTACTGTGATCTACACGAAAGCAAAATAAAATATTAAGACCTTTGTGAACTAGCAGAAAATGGTTCAAACTAAGGACTATAGCACCTATAAGAAACAAGCGGCCGGATATGAGGCATTCACATGCAGAGGGCAGGAGAAAAGGGCTGAACAGCAAACCTACTCAGAATGCTTGCAAGTCAAATATTCTGAACGTAGAGAGTGCCAGCACTTTATGGAAGTGCCTCTCTGCAGTAAGCTCAGAAAGCAACTAAGTGCCCATAAATATACGTGTAATAGATGCTGAAAACTTAGGGTGCTCCTGCACATTTAAAAATGCTTTCCACAAAAGGGATAGTAAGCATGCTGAAAGAGCTAAGGACAGGAGTGCAAATATATTAACCAGTAAGCCAATAATAGCATCTGGGATTGCCAGTAGTCCCGCAATGTCTTGATATATTTCAGTAGTTGATACAAGGACATCACCATGCGGTAACTGGGGGGGGGGGGCTATACCACCGTCTGACTGGCATGCAAGTTGCTGAAACAACAAATCATTTCACAAGCACTCTAAGAAACAAACACTAGAATACCTTTCTATATTGAGAGCGTAAGAGCAGATACACACGACCTTTCTACCTCCCGTGCATGACAGAGTTTCCTGTCAAAACCACCATTGCCGAAGCAGCATGGGGTCATTATGCACTGGGCAATGAGAGAGGGAAGTCAGGCAAGTTAAGAGAGAGAAGGGAAAAGAGACAATGTTTCATTAGTACACACCTTAGAAGCGAGAATCAAAACAGCAAATGTCAGGTCAAGTAAGTCAGCTCCATTTTCTGTTACGTCATTGCATCTATGACTTCAACGGGCTGGTGCTTAATAGTTTAATGTTACTGGGAGCAGGAGACAGTTCCTGTGAGCCCCTCCTACATTGTTCTAGTGTTAATAAAATACTTAATTGAAAATGGTGGAAAATTTCTCTTTGCCAGCCTACACTGCTGTTATTTTGCAAGTGAATTCATATTATCTTCAGGAAAAGAATAAGCAGTATGTTTAATAAATAAATGTAGCCTGATTATGAAATTTAAATTCTGGACAATTGGATTACAAGAGTGATACAAAACCCACCACAAACGTCATGCATGGGAACATCAACATTTTTTAAAATAAGAACTAGGATCAAAGTGTAAAGGTGTTTTTTAAATACTTGGTCTACACACATTATTATTATTTTAGGTATTATAATAATATAAGTTATTATTGCTATCATTAATGCAAATGATATGCTTAAAAATAACAAAAAATGATTGATTTCTTTTTTTGCCACTTTTTGCCATAGTCCCTGTATCTTTGCCTGCTATGTTCTCACTGCTCAAACCCACTCAGTATGAAGCAGTTACCCATGGGAGGTGGGGATCTGAAAACTTAGAGTAACTAGACTATGGCAATGCAGTCAAGGGACAGTAATAAATCCTGCTCAGTCTGAACAGAAAGCTTGGGTTTTTTTCTCTCAGGCACTAGACAAGTACAGATAAGATTGCATTTGGGGTTCGACTAAACTATCTAGCTCATAAAACAAGAAAGGGAGACAACACAAGAAGAATTATCTTACAGTTTATCTTACTCTAAAGATAAGCAGTTCCAAGCAGACAGATGACACCCTTCATATGAAGAGAGCAGCCTGGGTAACAGTTACTTCTGCTGAATTGACCCTGAGCCCCTGGTATTAGCACCTACCTCGGAACAGCAGAGACAACCTTGTGGTTTTTTGAAGAGTCCCGGGGATGCTACATGATCGAGGTGAAATACCTAGCCCTGTCATTTTGCATTGGTTCGTCTTGGAATATACTGTTTCACATGTCCAGACTTCAACATTCTCATCATAAAGCAAGGAAAACAAATGCAACCTTATAGGCCATCATGGTTTAGAACACACAGGAAAAGCATCCCAATCATGGTGGGGGACAAATTAACAGGAATATCTGTTCTTCCAGAAGCTGCAGCGATTGTGTGGCTAAGGACTGAGAGATCAGAAAGGTCCTGAGATGCCCAGGTGTCCTCTGCTGGCCCTCACTCAGGAAGAAGGGGAGAAAGGGCTTAAGAAGAAGAGGGACTGCCACACTAGAAGGCAATGCCTCGCTAACCAGTTTCCTCCAGTCTCCTTGTGTTACTAGAGACAAAAGAAACATTTGAGAGTTTGATCTGTCAGCTTTTGCTGAATGTTAGCCGTGCAGTAACTGGGTTCTTTAGGTGGTTCTGACTGATTTATTTCTCACCAGAGTTTTGACCAATTCCCACGCACACCTGCAGACTTGGGTTCTCTCAGCAAATCCTTCACTGAGCTGATTGTCACTTCTTAGAACTTCAGCTTCCTGAATAATATCGCTTTCCTTGCATTGACTGCATCCACCTTATATATAAACTACGTCTTCCAGCAACTCAGAGGGTCATTCTTGGAGCTCAATACCGATATTATTTCCATTTTGATTTTGAATTAACCTTACAAATATACTTTTTTTTATTGGTAACACAGAACAGAGGGCAATATAGTCAAATGTCTGTACTCACACTCCCTTCTCAGCCTTCCTGAACTCCTAATATTCAAGAGTATAAGTTAAAGTTGCCTTAATATTGAAACATCATCTAATTTAGCCTACACATTTCCTGCTTTCTCAGGCTGCCCTTGGCTTGAGATCTTACCTTAGAATTGAGATGACCTGAAAAGCTGTTTGGAAAGGAGGGAGGCTCACAAGGGAAACTCAGACTAATCAAAGAGAAGCTCTCTCAACGGATGGGGCTGCTGTGGGCTGCTGTTCATAGCCCCGAATTAAGTAAGCCTGCATGTATCACAGGGCAAACAGGGGCACCAGCCTGAGGGGCCTGGGATGTTGACCTCGCCTCTCTCCTCGTGATTGGCTAAGTATCTTGAACTGAGTTTTGCTCAATTGTAAGAAAGTAGAGCTGGGACACTTCTACTTCCCTACACTTTGTTTAGAGTGATTTCAAGGCCCTTGCCATTTTTAAAAAGATAAAGAAGTTGGGTAGTCTCCAGTTAACCCTGTGGCATTTCCTGAGAGGCCTGTTTGGAAGAGAAATGTATACTGAAGTTTTAAACATTTGCAGCCTAGGCTGCAGCACAGGGTTAGAGAAAGTACAGTTCAGGCCCTGGGCCCTGTGTTCAATATAAACAATATGCTCAAAGATGTATTGATGTGCAAAAATATTGCTTCTATTAATAAAAATTGATCCTGAATCATATGTGTGTGTGTGTGTGTGTGTGTGTGTGTGTGTGTGTGTGTGTGTGT